AAATGCAGAGAGCAGTTACCTGCTGGTTTCCCTGGCAGAGGAAGTGGCATTCACTGGGAATACAAAATAATTAAGCAAAAATGTGACTGTTTCAGAAACCGGATTTGTCAAATTGTAGTTCTGAAGCCTCCCCTAAAAGGAATAGTTCTCTCCTTTGAGCTCTGTTCTGCTGTTACTTCTCTGGTCTCTTTTTCTCCCTTTATCCATAATCACTAATATGTTCTCTTCCCCACCTGCAGCTTCACGGTTCTCTCCCACTACCACTGTTCTCCTCTTTCTGAACGGTGTACACTACACCCCTTCTGATTTTTATCTCTCTTCAGATTCCTCCTGCTTTATCCCTACTGCTTGTGTGCCTCTCACTGGCATTTCTGTGATTGTCCATACTGACCGACATACAGGAAGAAAAAAATCCATGCAAAGCAATAACTCAGTTCCTGCACTGCAGTGGGTTAGCAGCAGATAAAGTAAAAAGACTCGTGTACTTAACAGGTCTTTCTTACTTATTTTGCCCATTCTGTTTTTGCTGCACTTCGGCTCTCTGCTTATTGAACGGTGCAGTGTGTGTCTTTGCAGCGCAGCTCAGAGCTGCACAGTACGTCCCCCAGAAGCCAATACACTTTCAAAGAGCGGGGAGCAAGAGAATTGTAGAACTGGGCTAGGCAGTACCGTGTTTGAGGAGCTTAGGGACATGGTTTAGCAGGCAGGGTGTTGAAGGGCTTACGGTTGAACTCGATGATCCTGAAGGTCCTTTCCAAGCAGAACGACCCTGTGTCGCACCACGGGACTCACCAGTACGCCGGCTTTGGCACTGTTGTCTCCTTGTACTGCTCTTCCAGCTCCGCTTTCCTCTTCCTTAAATACTGGGGGGAAAACGGAGACGCAGTGAGGCCCCGGGGCACCGGCAGAGCAGGGAGAGGGAGCCCAGGGCCCTGCGGGACAGGGACAGCGCCAGCCCCGCTGCTCTCACCTCCCGGTCCGGAATGACGGTGCTTTGGTGGCTCACGACGGCGCCGATCTGGCTGCTCCTGGGGCGGGAATGGAAGTACCGCTCCGATTCCTCCTCCGAGAGCCGCTTCACGGAGCCCTCGATCCGCACCTGCGCGGGCAGATGGATGGGATCCCCCGAGCAGCCCCGCTCC